GATTGTAAGATATTCCTCACAGTGTAAGATATATCTTCGAACGTAAGGTATTCCTCCGAGTGGAAGGTATTCCTCCTAGTGTAACGTATTCCTCCGAGTGGAAGGTATTCCTCCTAGTGTAACGTATTCCTCCGAGTGGAAGGTATTCCTCTGAATGTAAGGTATTCCTCATGGTGTAAGATATTCATCTGAATGTAAGGTATTTCTCACTGTGTAAGATATTCCTCTGAATGTAAGGTATTCCTCTGAATGTAAGATACTCCTCTGAATTAAGGTATTCCTCTGAAGATAAGATATTCCTCTGAATGTATGGTATTCCTCTGAATGTAAGATATTCCTCTGAATGTAAAATATTCCCCACATTGTAAGATATATCTCCGAACGTAAAATATTCCTCGGAATGTAAGGTATTCCTCCGAGTGTGAGGTATTACTTCGAATGCAAGGTATTCTTCTGAATGTAAGTAATTTAAGATATTCCTCACAGTGTAAGATACATGTATATCTCTGAACGTAAGATATTCCTCTGAATGTAAGGTATTTCTCACAGTATAATGTAAGATGTATCCTCGAACGTAAGATATTCCTTTGAATGCAAGATATTCCTCACTGTGTAAGATATAATGTCTCCGAATGTAAAATTTTCCTAAGAATTTAAACTATTCCTCACAGTGTAAGATAATATTAATATGTGTCTCCGAACGGAAGATATTACTCAGAATGTGAGGTATTCTTCCAGGTGTGAGGTATTCCTGCAAATGTAAGATATGCTTCTGAATGTAAGGTATTCCTCACAGTGTAAGATTTGTCTCCGAACGTAAGATATTCCTCAGAATGTAAGTTTTTCCCCACAGTCGAAGATGTATCTCTGAACGTAAAATATTCCCCTGAATGTAAGGTATTCCTCCGAATGTAAGTTACTCCTCTAAATGTATTACTCTGCCGTATGTCCGAGGAGCAGGGAGGAGAAAGAAAAGGAGGAGGGCCGTAGTGATGAGAAACCCAAATATTTTGGTTATTCTGACTCTTCAGCTGCTGATGTGGGCGATTTGTGTCCGTTGTGAGTGTGGTCGTGATGGTGTCGCTGTATGTCCGAGGAGGAGGAAGGAGAGGAGGATGAGGGGGAGGAGGGGCATAATGATAACAAACCCTTGTTGGTCAGTCTGACTTTACAGCTGCTGCTGATGTGGGCGATTTGTGTCCGTTGCGAGTGTGGTCGTGACGGTTTCACTGTATGTCCGAGATGGAGGAGGAGGAGAGGAGTTGGAATATTTTGATCAGTCTGACTTTGCAGCCGCTGCTGATGTAGGCGACTTGTTGTGTCCGTTGTGGGTGTGGTCGTGATTATTTCCCCGTACATCCGAGGAGGCTGAGGAAGAGGGGGATGAGAAGAAGGAGTTGGACATCGACGACGACGACGACGAGAAGGAGGGAGAGGAGGAGGAGGAGGACGACGGGGAAGACGAGTCGGAGTCGGGCGCGTCCCTCTGCCGCAAAGCCCTGACCGGAAAGTGGTGGTAGTCGGCGAGCAGAGCCATGGCGTGCGTCCACAGAGCCGGGGACAGGTGGGCGTACAGACAGGGCAGCAGGCGAGCCAGGAGGCCCTTGTAGTAGACGGGCCTCGGGTGGCGGGACAGCAGCGCGTCCGTCATACAGGACAGCAGGGGGGAGAAGTCCGGGTTCAGGTACTCCTTGTAGTCTGCCGGGGGAGAGAAGGAGAATACTTTGTAGACTTATCTTTATTATTATTTTATTATTATCATTATTATTATGATGATGATGATGATGATGATTATTATTATCATTATTATTATTATTACTATTATTACCCAATTGTGTTGCAATTGTCGAAAAACCCTTTCTGAAAAAAAATTACGATTTATTGAATGGAGTCTGGCCAGGGAAGAGAAATGTGTACACAATAATTATTTTTTTGTGTAAGTGTTTTACGGCGCTCGCAAGCGCGCGGGATACATTAAGCATTTTAGTTTGATAGGCTTTAATTTTTAATTTTGCTAAGGTGGCGGTTGAGACCTACTCCTATTGATTTTGGACCATCAAGGGATCTTTAACGTGCACAGCTTGCACACGTGACCTTCAAGATTTTTGGCGCTTGTCCGAGAAGGCTAGGTATTAGATCTTAGTACCTACCCTAAGATCAGGGGTGTTGCATGCAAAGTCTGACGTGGAAGTAAATTTTATATGTACATTTGATTCATCGAAGTCTGGTTGGGTAGAGAATGGGTCTATTTTATTCAACGAAGTATGATGAGGATGGGAATACGTATACGTTATTGTTATATGACCTAAATGTGTTGCAAGTGGCATAAGACATTTTTACTAAAACGAAACAAAAGACTCAAGGTACACTTTGTTCAACCAACGCAAACGGAGAAGGAGAATAACTACACTTCGTTCTCATATGACCTTATTGCTTATTCAATTATTGTGTTTGCAAGTGCCGTAAAACTCTTGCTAAATCAAAACGACAATAATAGCCACAACGACAAGAAAAACAACAGCAACAGAAACCGTAACAGCAGCCACAACATCAATGACTACAACAACAACAACAACAACAACAACAAAAACCGCAACAGCAGCAACAGCAACAACATTCATCGAAATAAAAAACAAACCAAAAAAGTACTCTTTGTTTTTCGGAACCTGGCTGGAAACTGGAATTCATCCAGTGCCTGATCTGCGACAGACATCGGCGATCATGGTTCTCTATTCTGTCCTTTGCTCAGATGCTCTTAAAAAACTAGATCTACGTTTCCCTGATCTTTCCCCGTCGTTACCCTTTTGTTTATGTTCCCTAAGTAGGTTGCTCTGGGCCTACTCCTGCCTCGTTTGCCTTCAATTTTGCCAGTGAGAGCAAGGGAATATATGTAAGATAAGATATAGTCAGAAACTAGACTTTTACTTTGCAGAATTTTTTTTCTGACAATTTCTGTTTTCGTTGTTATTCGTGTAGGCCTACACACATCGTGTACATTCAGTCAACCAAAATTAACTGGTTCATCAAGGGTCAGCACGAGAATACCCAGACTGAAAGATATTCACCCCCCACCCCCACACACACAGACACATACGCACACACGCGCAAACACACTCACACAGTACGCAGACACACTCATTGACAAACATACATATATACACTCACAAACACCACACACGTACACGAACACACACACACACACGTACACG